TAATTCCGAAATTATTGATGCTGGGTAAAACTTCACGGTGCAAAAATTCGGTCTACACGCAAGCTAGTACAAGATTTTCTCTGGAACAGGATATCGTTTTCAGAGATTTTACTCTGGAACAGGGTATAGTTTTCAGCGATTTTACTCTGGAACAGGATCAGGGTTTTGACGTCCCAGCGGCAAACCCCCACCCAAGTTTGGGGGGAGTACCCCCCCGGGTGTTGCTGCTGCTGCTATTGTTGTTTTGTTGTCATATCAGCAAAATGATCCTTTCAATCACAAACCAAACAAAACTTCAGTCAACATCACTGCAAATCAACTTGTAAACTAAACAACAAAAATGTCAATCAATCAGCCAGTCGACAATCCATATCACAATCCGACCAATCAACTAACCCACCTGTCAATCTTTAAACTAAAAAAAACAAGCCATCATCCATAGGCAAGATTTTCCCCTCATGTCCATACGTTCACATACGTTGCGTTTGTATTTCAGTTGGACAGGATTCATGTCCAGTTGTGAGATCATCTTGCAATGAAATCATTCAAAACAAAGAGTCGCGTGGTGATGGTGAATACACCATCAAACCCGCTGGTTTGGGAGAGCTACGCGTATATTGTGATATGACAACAGAAGGAGGTAAAGTACTGGGCAATACTCCAGTTTCGAATTCAAAGCGAATAACCGCTGTTTTACTTGACAGCAGATTCTATTACATGCTATTACGCAAAGAACTTACCAAAGACAAAAGAAAGCACGAGAAAATGTTGTTAATACAATAGAGCTAAGAATCTACATTTTCCCCGAGTGAGGCTAACCCTGCTCATACCTTAGGTCTTATGGGAATACAGGGATAATCTCAACTCGGGGAAAAAGCAAATTTTCAAGTCATTTTCTCGTGCTCTCTTTTGTGTTTGTAAGGTCTTTGCGCAAGAGAATCTGTTGTCAAATAAAGCAGCGGTTATTCGCTATGAATTCGAAACTGGAGTATTGATAATAAAGTCTAAATATCACTGTAATCGAATGAGAGTCGAGACAGGGAGGTTCCAGCTAGCATATTTACACCAACCCAACCTTTACAATCACAATCCAAAGAACTATCAGAGGCCTGTTGTACGAAGGGTGATTAAAGTTATCCACCTGTCAAAAATTATCCACTTTATAGATTTTGTGTGTGTTTTTCAACTGGATAAGGGTTTATCCCGTGGATAGTGCTATTCGACCTAGCTTRTTTTTCTCGAATATCAATCCCATTTCATCTAGCTGAAGTTTATTCCATTTTTACAATCCAAAAAGCAGGACCATTGGCGTCTCTAAGATACTTAGAATTCCARGTCTTCTTTTAGATTTACACTCTTTGTAAGGCCAGTACTTTGAATTTATTGTTTCGTCTCTCATTATATAATCAGGTGGATGGACATTGCTCAAAAAGGCAACAGCACCTATCCCAGCAAAAGGGTCCACAACACTCCTCTCAGACGCAAGTGCAATTCTGAAGAGCTATAACGATCCTCATACGCTTATTATTACAAATGGACTTAAAAGTGTAAAGGACGCGCTGGCATTTAAACAAATGAGATATTTTTGTAAGAAACAAGCTAGCAAGAAAGTTCACGTTATGACGAACGATGATGCTAATGGCTATGATGTTATCAGGTATCAACACTTCGATCATTGGGTTGCCTTTGTACTTTTTAGTTTGTGTSCTGGCTAAGTRGCATGATGTTTTCGCCCTATGAACTCACTCACTGTATAAAGTGCCTGGTCGAGAAATCTAAAAAAAAACAGGCAATAGTCTCCTTCACGGTTCCCTGCGCCATCTTGAAAGGTAGGCGAGCCTTTACATCGAAGTGAGACGACCGTTGAGCGTGCAATGATAGATACCTGTGGATAATTGTCTGTAGGCGTGAAAGTAGGTTTCTATCATTTCACGCAGTCAACGGTTGTCTCGCTTTGATGCAAAGGCACGGCTACCTTTCAAGATGTCGCAGGGAACCGTGAAGAARACTATTTTGCTGTGATCTTTATTTTATTAATAGAYATATCTTTCCCATTTAGGTATTTCAGTGAAACACCCACTCCCGCCCAAGCATGTGGTTCCTTTACTAAACTGAGCGATGATACGTCAGACCTGAGTAACAATTGCCATCAATGGGGCTACAAAGTTGGTGAGAACCAATGGGGAAACAGTGCATACARTGGTCTGCAAAGAGTGCAACGAAAGGTTATGTTCTGGAACAAATACCCAATGCATGTCTTTAGTATGATACCTGGGGAATATCTATGCGATGACGAAAATGGTGCGTTGACTGACGGTGATGAGTGGGCTCTTTTCGTTCGATGAAATCTCTTTTTATAACCCCTTAGTCCTCCCATTTCCCTCCAAGACGAAACACCGTTGGATGAGTTCTCCTTTTTTTACAGTTTTCTCTCTAAAAGGGACATGGTCCACTAGCATCCCTTTCGAGCTTTAGCTCATGCTCGAAAATAAACTAATACATCGTAATATAAGCAAAAACGTACTCTTTATTGCCACTATATGAATGGAAATACTGTAAGATATGACCTTTAAACCGATGGATGGAAACGGATTGCGAATGGATATTCGAAGTCACCTCATTTTCCATATATGAAAAATCTAAAACACGACCGCATTGAATGCTGGTGGACCATGTCCCTTTAAAAAACGCTGTAGAGTTTATATTTGCGGAATTGTAAAAGTTTTAATTATAATTTGTCCTTCGTCAGTGCCGTTTCACGAGCTTTGATGAACATATCATTTAATTTTTTAACCCATACACATACCGTACAATAAGTCATACAAAAACATTTATACAATATATATAATCACTGTGTAAATAGTATTAAAGTTAGTAGGTAGATTTTCATAGCTAAATCCATAACTAAAACAAAATATGCCAGTCTGAAAGCAAATAAAAAATCCAATTTGTACACTTTTTGTAATTTCCTCAGTGCAATCAAGTTCCTTGAAGGAACTGCAYATAGATATGTAAATAGGTAGTTGGCATTCAATAAAGTCACAAGGTATATTCATTTATACAAAAAGAGTAGTTGGAATAGGTGGGCGCCAATGTTTACGTTCAAGCTAATTTGCATAAAATTCAGAAATCGAATTTCAAGACACAAGAAAATCAAGCCCATAAATGAAAAGAACTCATACCTGTTAACAATTCCTGCAAATTTGAAGGCAATTGGTTAAATATTTCAAGAGATATCAAGCGCCAAATTGGCAAGATTTTATCGAAGAAATGACCGTGGTTGGCATTAATTATTTTGCCAACCACTGAATGTTTTCTATAGATTTTCTAGTTTTGAAATGCCGATATCTCGAAATGTAAAAAGGCGTTTGCCCTAAAATTTTCGGATTTTGTTGAGAGTAATATAATCTTGAACTATATGAGTTCAGATTGCTTATTTTTTGAATTTTATATTTTGGGTGTAAACAAACTACGTCATCGTACGCCCACCTATAACTTTTTCTCTGCATCACAGACCATATCCAGCTTGCCAGCATCATCTAGTTGCTTGATTATATTTTCACTTGCTTTTAACAATACCACGATGCACTTCGCCACGATAAACATGACGTAGCTCGTGGAAAACACTCTTTGAGGGCCCACGTACATCCAAGAACATTTGAACATTTTGACATTTAATGATCACTGAAAGCTGCTTTCTGGATGGTTAAAAATGTTCGTATGTGAGAAACCTTTTGCGTAAACGTTCTTGGGTGCACATGAGTGGAATAAAACAGAAAYTCGCTGTTAGATTTACTGTTAAAGTATTTTTATTAATTTTATACCTAGCAATAATGCATCACAAAGATAAATCTAAGTAAACAATCCCAGCATGCATGTCATACCCTGAAAACATGTCATACAAATTATGCATGCAAAATGCAACATACAAAATTCTTATAAAAGGTACTTCATCTAGATTTTTCCACAGCGGATCTTGAAAAGGTTGTCCACCTAAAAAAAGACATTTCCAATGTTCAAATTGTCACGTGTCTTGATATATATTCAGTTTTTCTCTGTTTATTTCATCTCTCGACAAAAACCTGACATTCTACACTATTGAACAGCCAATGTTATCATAAGTCATGTGGCAATTGGAACACTGGAAATGTGGACAACCTTTTCAAGATCGRCCATATATGCACTTGCTATTCACAGCTAATATTGAAAATATTTCCATAATGGATATTACTAATAATATTAATTGGTAKTAATAGTGTTAATTCTGTAAACTTTCCTATAGAATTTGATCTTCAAATTGCACTGTGCATTATACGTCATTTATATTGTGAATCTACCATTAAACTTCAATATGAATTGAATATCATAAGTGTCAGATACATAAATCGTGCTACAATCGTATGCTTTTGTTATGAGACAACTGCAYGTTAAGAGCGACGCCGACGTCAAAATCAAATTCACCCAACGATACCACTATAGAACTTAGTAGTAGCTTCCTAGTTAAGCCCGGACTCTACCATTGGCTAGAAATTTTTTTTTGTAATTTTAGTTATACACTGAATATTTATTAAACGTCTATGTACATACCGTGACCAATTTGAAGATTTGTCACATACAAAATGTCATCATAAAGCCGATTTTGAAGGGGTTATCCACTTGAAATATATATATAGGAAATGCCTCTTTCAGGTGAACAATCTTTTAAAATTGGCTTTATAAGCTAAGTTCGAATTGGATCATGGGGTACGTATGAATATAACAATTCYTATAATTCAATAGACCTCTKAATCTTTTACGTCATGTACCGTATACGTAATGCATTGTAGGATATGTTWGGGACAAAACATTGCGGATTTCTTTTGTTTTCTCTTGAAACCGATCCCACAATGCATTGAAAATCAAGTAGTGACGTAAAAGGTTCAGAAATCAATTCCAATGGATGTGATAACAGAGTTTTAAACTCATTGTCGTCCAAACAATTCCAGCTACGTGTGTGCGCAGCATTTGTATTTGTAGCATTCGGCTCACCACGTTCTCATATGATTTGTAAGTGCCCTATTTCATTATGACGTCACAGTATGCTTACATCCTAAAACGTTGCTAAAAATATTGGAAATTTGGGCCAATTTATATTGTTTCCTAAAGTAGAACTTCAATGTACCATGATTTGATATACTTCATGTATCAAAGATTGCTCATGTGCATTTTATTGGATATGCAGTCATTGATCCCATCTGGAGAACATAATCCTTAGCGTCAAAACAATAAAATGTTTTTATGTGACGTCATGATGAAATAGGGCAACTTAAAAGTGATAGATTTCCTTGATTTGGTAGTTCTATTCGGTTTCATTAGAAAAATGGATTTCTGGAAAAATATGATTGCATTGTAAAATTATTTATATTGCCATCCACCAGACACAGGTTTCCTTTTGGCTGCCTCCTAAAGAAAGAGAATAAAATGAGTATTATTTCCGTGGCATCTAGAGATAGAACTACATGGTGCAGTTGGAGAAGTATGCATACCTTTGGCTGGTCGGATTCTTTCTGCTGTAAAATATAAAAAATTAGTTTGTTAAAAAAACTAGTTTAGAGTCAAAAAACRTAGCGCACTATTTGACAGCCACACCTAATAGTTTAAGAATTTGTTCATTATTGTTCCCGCTACGTGTGAATAGATTAGCAATACTATTTCACCTGTGTCATCATCTCTCTTTCTTTCATTATAGCCTGTCTTTCTCTTTGCAGCGCTTCTTCCCGTTGTCGTTCTTTCTCCTTTTCCATCTAAATAGGTTAACATAAAAACAATATACCGGCTTCAAAGTTCCAAAAAATAGAAAACAGATGATATACATAGGAATAAAACGCACAGCATTCCAGAAAAAATAAGCGTGAGCAAGTCGTTCTTACCTCAATAAAACTTTTCTTTACGGGTGGGTTTTTGCTGGGTGCTCTAAAAATAAAATCAAAATTATGAAAAAGTGAAAAATAAAGTAAAGTAAAAAGATGAGAGCAATGAAATGAATAAATTTGYTTATCCCCCAGATAAACCTAGTTTGAGATCCCATGAAAGGCGTATTTGCATAATAAATAAGGTAAGAAACAAAATGAACAATAGTCTTCTTCACGGTTCCCTGCGCTATCTTGAAAGGTAGCCGTTCCTTTGCATCGAAGCGAGACGACCGTTGAGCGTGCACACTTACAGACAATTATTCACAGGTATCTATCATTGCACGCTCAACGGTCAACGGTCTGATCGCTTCGATGAAAAGGCACGGCTACCTTTCAAGATGACGCAGGGAACCGTGAAGGAGACTATTGGTACATTGCACRTCATAAGTTGCACACACACAACTGAAATATAAAAAAGCTCGCTTACGACTTTGGTTGAGGTTCTTGCTTTGAAACAGGTGGCCTTGGTGCGGCTTGTTTAATCTAGTAATATAATCAAAAGTATAAYGGCATAGTTCAAATGACTTAAACACTAATAATTGCCTTTGTGGTGTATGCATATAATCTCGACAAACCTGWATTTTACTTGGGAGAGGATTCTTTTTGATGCCATCCAGATTGTCCTGCTCGATCGAGGACGCTTTCATGAGTTGCTCTCTTCTTAATCGAATTTCTTCTTCCTTTCTTGCTAGCTCAGCCATTTCTTGTTGGATTTTGCTATTTGAAATAGAAGCAGGCTGATTGCCTTCGACTGATCGTTGACGCGTTTCATATTGCTGTCGTTTGGAAGAAATGTCACCTAAGACTAAACGTGAYGAMGTTTTTTCTTCAGAAGACGCTTTTTCTTTAGCATACTTWGGCTCTTGGTCTTCTAACCGAATTATCTCTATTGATTTTGCTTTGGACTCTTTGGACACAATAGCGTCTGAATAGAAAGACGCTCTGTTGGGATTCCTGTTTGGCTTGACAACAGTTGCTGTATCATCAAGATTGAGTGATTGGCGTTTCTGACGCATCACCACTTTAGGTTGTTCCTGGGGTCTTTCGAACAACGCCTTAGCATCACGGACACTTGTCCTTCTTTCGCGCACTTCATCTTCTTCTGCAGGTGGTGGTGGTGGTGCTGCTGATGACACTTTCTCGGTACTGGTCTCACTGCTAGAGCTGGGAGTTCTCACACGGCTTGTAGTTTCCAACGCTTGCGATTCTTTCATGGTGCGAATGACCCGCTCTTCCAATCTAATCTTYTCAACCTCGAACTTAAGGCGCCTTTGYTCTGCGTTCCTCAGTTCTTCTTCCCKTCGTTCTTGGTCTTCCTTCTTTATTTTCTCAGCTTCTCTCAGATGTAGTTCCTTTCTCTTRCGCATTTCTTCTTCTCGGATGTCTCTTTTTCGGACAAGTTCTTCGGCCTCCCTCCTGAGACTCTCCTGACGAACCTTCTCGATTTGTTCCAGTCTTAGCCTCTCTTCTTCGGCCTGGATTTTCCTTTCTAAATCAGACTCATTTGCTGTCATCGAGCTGTCTACAACATCCATTGAGTTGTTAAATGTAGGTTTGGAACGCGTGCTATCCTTAAAGTGTACGTTTTGCTGTGCTGATGGGACGTGTTCCGGGATTGTGCTGTTGAATTTCGTAGCCCCTCGCGAGGAAGGTACCGAYCCAGAATTTCTTGCTGGGGGTTTGGAAAACATTTGTGACGTTTGCTTAACAGGTTGTGACTCTACAGATCCTTTAAAAGAACTTTTAACAACAGGTTCCTCGGCAATCTCGATATCACGTTTAACAGAGTGAAGTTGTTTATTGTTTTGAGCAAGACGATCAAAATCTCTTTGTCTTTCCTCCCTTTCTCGTCTCATTTCTTCATCTTTTAACTTTTGTTGTTCGATTTCGAGCTCGACCCAACTTTTCCGATTATTTCGCGTTTTTGTGCTGTCCTCATTCTTTTGCCTGCGCAAAACCGGTACATTAAATTGGTGCCTACTTTCCGGTGGACCAGATTCTATGACAATTTCCTTAGGCTGAGCTTTAACGATTCCTTTATCTTCCGGTTTGGGGTCTTTTGACCCTTTACTAAGTTGCTCAATTCTAATGCGCGCCTCTTCATCCCTAATCCTTTGCTCCGCAAGTTCTTTCTTAATTGAGCGCTCTGCGTCTGTTGTGGGAACAATGTGCTCTGTCTGAGAAATTTGCTTCTCGAGTTTCCCTTTTGCTTCTTGAATGGCGGCTTTTCGCATTAACAATTGTTGTCTGCTTTCCTCGTCTTGTCTCTTTAGCTCTTCTCTCGCTTGTCGAATCTTCTCCTCTTCAAGTTCTCTCTTCTTCCTTCTTTCTTCGTCAATCATTCGCTTTTCTTCAATATACATCGGGAGTAAATCTTCTTGTGTTGGTTCTCTTCTCGGATGAGATTCTCGCTCGGCGCGTTTTAAAGCACCAGATTCAATGAGTTCCTTTTCCTCCTCATTTGAAAGAACTCGACCAACAGGCAACTTTTTATTATAAACCTTTCCAGTCCCATTAGGCGAACTGTGATCATTTGACAACTGATTGAACATGTTGTCAAGATCTGGATGAGCTGATTCCACTCTTTCGACTGATTGAACAGTTACTTCCTGTTCAGTTAAATGACCAGAGTTTTGATTAATATCAACGAGGTTACTCGAGTCCTTTTCCAGGAGCTTTAGCTGCTCGTCTAGATCGGCATTACGATTTTTCTGTTCAGCTGATACAACCTCATCGACAACTTCTCCCTTTTTTTCCGGCATCGTTAGAACTTCTTCTGTAACTGTTTGCTGAATGACGGGTCTTGGCTGAACGGCTGCCCAAGAAAACGACTCGTTTCGTTCTACTTTTTTACTTTCTTTTCTTTCAATATCTTCACTTTCCTGTTGACGGTTAAAGCAAATTTACGTGCGTGCTTAGATCCGATCCTTTGCCCTAGTGAGAAGAATTTGATAAGGGGAATTGTTTTGAAAGAAAGACGAAATGAGATGTAAACGGAAGAGACCACACAATGGGTCATTTCCTTGGATATTCTTTCATCTGMTCCCTCCATTAGTTAAGATTGTCATCCGTGATGCGAATAAAAAGACTGATTAAAACGAATTGTGATGAATTTCGAAATATAATAGTATAATGCGATAGAACGAATCAAAAATTAAAAAAAAGGAAAAACAGAATAAAGTATATAAGAAAAGAAAAGAAATATGGAGAAGGCTATTGGTTGATATCCTAAATTTGGGCCAAATTTTTAACACGAAAACCAATATAAAGTACAGAAAAACAGCTATTCGTGATAGTAAAAACGTCAACCAAAATAAATGAATATTCACTAATTCTCTATTGATAACTTAACTAAAAAAATCTGGTTTTATCCCTCACGATGATACAACTAGGTTTTATATTTGAAAAGCATACAAATGTAGTAAATAATGATCATAAAAAATAGAAATATTCACAAAATATCAGTGAGACGAAACAAAGAGGCAGAATATATTATTTTAAACACTGCTTAGCAATTCCTACTTATTTGTTTTTTTTTAATATAGACTTAATCCTTTTTAACTTTATAAATTAAATCTCTTGCGAACAATATTTTYTGACCAAGTGCAAATTTAATCTACATCGACTGGTAAATTCATGTTGAGACTAGAACACTTGTCACGCAGACGTTATTCTAGAATATCAAACGTTCATAAATATGGCATAAGGCATGATTATTTATAGACTCAACGCACATTACCATATCAACAAAAGTCATCAATTCAGGGKAAAAATGAAATCGGATGAGAAATATTAACATATTATAGGAAAAATATGTATAACTTTGGTTCTAAAGTAAAATCCATTTTCCATAAACTGCCTATACAACCTTGCTTATTATCATGAATTCAAAAAATATATACCTGAGTAGATTTTGATGAATCGCTCTCGCGTTCTCTGGATTTAACTCTCAGTGTGCTGGGGTCAAGTCTGTAGCCACTGTGGATGCTATCATCGACAGAGTCCAAACCATTCACAAGTTCACYGTCGCCCTTTCTATCGCGTTTCACTTCAGTGAAAATTATTTCCGTTGGCTGGGCTTGAGAAAACTCGTTATCGAGACCGTTAGAAGTTGTCGTGAAATCGCTATTTTCTTCCGTTTTGGAGAATTCACCGTCATCTGTCAAAGGAATAATTCAACTGATGAATAAATGAGTAAACTCTAAGTTATTTCCACTAGTATATATTATATATTATAAGATATTATAATTAACCTAGGAGAAGATGGGTTTACCTGTGCATCAATTGAGCGTCAAATTTAATGAAAATAAAAGTTAATTTAAAGTTAATTTATGCATAGATATTATGAGAGAAACCTTAGAAGTATCCAGTTTTGGTGAAAAGTGGTTTCGATTCTCGCTGCTATTTGATGGCCACATTAGAACGAGCAATTATCCTATTCTCCCACAAGTAGCGATTTTTTTTTGCGATAAAAAAATAAAGTTTGCCGTGACAAATAATGATGTAGCTGATGAATATTCAACAGCTAGTTAACYCTTTCGAGAAATTGTCATAGTTAAGTGATAATTCATCACATTTTCAATTAATCCATGGTGGAGAATTGACTGGAGCGAAAACTAATACAAATATACGAATAAAATACGATTGATAACTCAGTACTTATAAAACATACCTAAATTAAACGAAAATTTTTAATATCAAAAAGGCAATTTTCCAAAGTTCCTGGTGTGATAATAGTTTTCAAAACTCCTGTACCAAGTTGTTTTTACAAAACGCACAAATAGGGAAACGACGTTTGGAAGGACATAAATGGTCATTAAATATTTGGAATCGAGAAATATTTGAATATCAATAATTTATTTARATTTTACAAAGTATTTCCTAGAGGYTATAAARAGAAAACTCGTCGTAAAATTAAAAGGATGCAATAAATCATAGTAAACATTCATTATRAGARAAATTATGGTCATGATAGTTAAGTAACRATGGTGATGGATGGCCAATGCCCGAAATGTCTTGCCGAGGAACAAATTTTCCGAAATTATTTTTTAACTTGCTTTCAAAACTAATGTCAAAATGAAGGTTTACCTTGTTTCGAAATTGAATAAAAATTTAACCAAAATAACTATACATTGTGTCTTAAGAGGTACTTAATACGTATGCAACGGAGGCTAAGGATATCGCTGGTTTATAAAAGAAATAATACACGCCCTTCGACCAATCAGAACGTATAAAATATGCTTAGTTTCCTTGGCAGCCTACAGTTTATCGTTCGCTTTGTACCGTCTTCTGTAGCACGATGTAGTCAATGAAGTGGCAACGAAAAGGATCAAGTCAGATAACGAGCCATTTCAGCCAACTAATCCACGTTACAAAAGATTTCACCATTAATTGATAGTTTTTACACGTAATTAGTAACACGATAAAAAGATTGAAGTGTACAATATTTAAAGTGAGTTAGGACGATTAATACCGCTCTAAAGATCGAATATAGACGTTGCGTGTGTTCGTGCGTGAATAATCCGTGAATAACTTTTTAACAGAATMAACGAAACTGASGATTACTTGGTTTTAAAACACCGCTAAGCGTCAAGTGAAATCAAAAACTGATTATGATTAAACTAATGTATAAAAATGTAATTCTGGCCTTTTAATTCTGAAAAATCGTAAAATGAATGACTGCGCACAAATATGTAATGCGGCTGACAGAATCGAAGTCTTAGCGTGCATTCCATTGAAATTAGTCAATAAGCATAAAAAATAATCAAAAGTTAATATGATAATTTACTAATCGAATACTGTAGATACGATAGAGAATATGAGCTAGTATTTATAGAGGGGTATGTAGCCATACAGCTTTTAATAAATATTATTAATAAAACTCTGATAATTCTACCAAAAAGTACATAAAAGATTATAAGTAATGCCACTGGTTTGCCATTCGGAATTTTCGATGCTCAGCTATCAGCTACTTTCGTCGACTCTCTCGGAGAGTAAATCAACGGAAACAATTGAAAATTGAAAGCCCACACGAGCATGGGCTCAATCAAAAAGCCAGTACAACTGCTATGCACCACAAGCTCTTCTACATCTACAGCCTACATAATTCTAACTACTTGTTCCAACATTCAAATGAACACTGACCTACTAACTCATCTGCAGTCCAAAGCTTCTCAAATACAGCGCTTTCTTTGCCAAGGTACGATTGTCTGTCCCCTTTGAACAAATCAGAGCCACTGACACGCTTTTTTAGCAAGAAACTTCGGTCAAACGGCTTGAAACTCTCTTTCTTTGATTTGTCTTTCAAGTTCAACAAACTCTGTGAACGGAAACAAAACTACTTATTATGCATTCCTACGATCASTCATCCGAGACGTTTTGAAAGGACCGTCAAAATGGCTTTGTTCTGTCATTTCAAATGATATCTAAATGATGTTCTATAAAAAATATTAACTAGCTCTCAAGGGAAAGCAAACATATTTCTGTTGAAGAATTTTGGGTCTTGAGCCGTTCAAGAGCTAGTTTTTCAATAGTGAACTGATCAAAAGAGAATGTTGATTTTTCTCATGATACAAAAGAAAAAAATATTGCAATAAAAGAATAATAACCGGTACAATAGTTAGCATTCAGGTTTTAGTAAAACAAATCAAGAAAACAAACAAATATTAAAACAAAAACAAAAAAYAAATCCACAAAAAAGTACAAAAGATTACATTTATTTTACAAAAGACACCTTCCAGCTACTTACTCTTCTAAGTTCTGTTTCCTCTTTCTCTAATATCGCGAGCCTTTCCTCAACTTTGATTAGTTCTGGACGTATATTTTCGTCTACAGTTTTKTCATCTAGGCCAGCCATCTCGGAGCAAAGCTTTTGCTATAAAAAGAAGGAAGAGTGCCTTAGGCTAATAACTCGGCTCCCTTCACATCAGACCGATATTTTCGGGTCGTTGAAAATATTGTACGTTTGAGACGTAAACCGCCAAAACGCATAAAAACTCAAATGGCTATWAACTGGTCAAATATTCGTGGGAACGAGAGTAAAAATACTTCACGATTGGCCACAAGAGCAAAGTGGCAATACTATGTCGCTCAAATTAGGAAATGACGGTCAATCTCATTTAGATACAATTTAAAATACTGCTTTCCATGTTAAAATTAAAACTATTCATTAAAATTCATTAAAATAGAACAAATGCTAGTAAAATACTATTGAATAATCTTATCAGCCAATCGATTTATCTAAAAAGCGCGGGAAAAWCAAACGTGCACAAAAAGCGCGGGAAAAGCAATTTGCAACCCGACGCGCACGCGCATAAAAGCCCGCCCTCTCACAAATCGTGCAAAGCTGAATGAATGTGTTGCAAACGCACCAGTGTCGAAGTCCAGAAGGAAATGTTTCCTTCTGGCCTTCTTTTCTTCTCAACACGAAAGAGAAAAATTCGCAAACATCAAAAACAAGACAAGATATAACACATGTAAGTTATTTTTYCTGGCTTTTCTTGATATTTGAAGGGTTTTATTGCGCATTTTTWGTGCACGTCTTCCACGTGGTCTGCCCACTTTGGCACAGGTTTTTACCTTCAATGTCCAAAGTTGTCTTCGTTCGGTTTGAACTTCAGTGTGTCTAAAATATACAAGCAAAATCTAATATTTTATTGGTGGTAGTTTGTTTTTAAGTTAGTGGGCGACTTCCTCTTTAATTTATACGGCGGTTTAGATAAAATAATTATAGTTTGAAGAGAAGCGAAACTCTGGTACCGCTTAAAGACCCGAAGTAAAGCTTATATCAATCTTACCTTTTTTTCTTCGCTTCTCCATCATCTTTTAGAAGCTAATTGTTCAAATTAAACGATTTTGTTAGTTCTGACCGAGTTTTAATTWAATGAAACGACTGTCCTAGTTCTAAAGACATTGTCTCCGCACTTTAAATGGCAAAAAAAGAAAAGAAAAAAATACCTCATGTGGAAGAGCTGATTTTGCATCTATGCTTCCTTCGAGATTATTACCTAGARGGTATAGATAGTCGCAACACAAGGCATTAGCACTAGACACACCCCATAACAGTTTAACAAAATTTCTGGACATGCCCACTTAAGGCCTTATGAAGAATATCCAAAACAAAAGCGATCATAGTTCTATCTATATCAGGTGGTTTAATTACCTTTTTTACAAAATCTTAAAAGATGAAGAGCAATAGCAAACTCAGCRTTAGACAGCTTGGCATCTCGGTCCATGTCTGACAAATCCCTTAAATATACAAGACCAAGCATTAATCACAACACATATCACAATAAGCTTTAATATGATCTTCAAATTGCACATGAATTCCACTGCCTAGCACTTAAAGTACATGTTACATATAAACTGCTTGCCATCATAGTAAGTAAAAAGACCCATTTTTATACTAAAAAGTACACAATGTTTAATATTACTAACACTGATTGTCGTATCACTTAGCATTAAATTTTTATATAATTATAAATTATCTTAATTCTCAATGTTTTTGATAGTTATTCTGAAATATTATACAGTACTTACCATATTTTTGCTAGCACATGTGATTCCAATCCTGAAGCCAACATGATGTTACAAACAGTTTCAGCTATAAAGATGCAGAAAACAATTTTGACTAATAGTCCCTTGTAGAAACGGCCACCTCATTAGACTAATTCCAAAAGTCATAGTTTTTGCTCCTCATTTGTTTTTTTTTTCAGTTTGATAAAAAAAAATAAAAAAAATCTAACCAAAAACAAACTGGGACCTWCTGAAATCAGCTAACAACTTATTAGCAGAATCGCTTTCAAAACCCCCACTGAGCCCTTAAAATTCATGAACAAGATATTGATTCAATTTGGCAAAAAAGCCATTCAAAAAGTGCAAAAGTACATGTAAAACATTGCCAATAATAAAGATTATATGATGGCCAGAAAAAATATAAAGATTGTCAAAATGTTACAATCACATTCACCAAGTTGGCTAGTTTAATAACAAGAGATTAGTACTCTTACAGTCATTATAAAGTACTTCTTTGTAAATTAATTACCCGTGAGGTCAAATTCTAATTTTGGAAAGTCACTTGACTTCACACTTACTATCAAGATATCCTGTTTTGCTTTTATCCTTCCATTCAAACATCTTTTGATAAATTTCAATTTCCTTTGCTGTTATTTTGGGGATATTGGTAACAGCAACTTTAGTTGGTGTAAGTGACGGTGGAAGCTTTTCAGGAATGTCAAAACCTCTTAGACGTAATTGAATCAAATGCATGGCTGTTGCAAACTCGGAAACGTCCAACATGTTGTCTCGTGTTAAATCAGCAAGTTTCCTATTAAAATTATAAAATATAAATTTTAGAAAAACTATTCATTTTAATAGGAATTTATAAGCATGTGCTACTGAAGMAAATGAGGGGTTGAGTTTTTTTCAATAAGGTTTTGAGATATCAGTGAGATTAAGTCAAACAAACATGCTGGGCTGGCTRGAAGACACAGAATATTGAGATCATTACAAATATAAAATTCTTATTTCAAATTTCTAGGGACATATATATATACTCTCACTATATTGAACTTAAATACATGAAATACTTTATACAAGAATTTAAAGATTTCCACCAGTCAAACAATAGATTGAAGAAAATTTAATGGATTAGAAAAAYCATTTCCAGCATGATTGCTCACAGACAATAGAACTTGGATGTGCATTTCCTTTTCGAAAGAGTATTATTATGTCATTGTAGTAATTAAGCATTTAGAGGAGATAAGTATTATAAAGCTATATAAAGAATCCCATATGCCCAGGGTTTCATGAGGATCCTTTTGTTCCTAAAGATTGTCATCCGTTAGATAGAACAGGAGCTTGGTGTATAAAACTTGAATAGCTCTCTATCAATCACTGGATATTAAGTGCATATCCAGTGGCTACAATMCATACAATATCATAGAGTTGGTTTCTTTATCTGTTGAATAACTTTATCCACCCTTTGTTAAGTACAGACCCATTTGAATCGGCCATAAATCATTGTGGGAATCACCAAACCAAATAACTCTCTAACTTACAAGTGCACATAATGTATTAATATCTATTATTGTGCCTTGTTTTTAGCTCCTTTTGTGAGTGATAATTATTTTATCATATAATTATCTATGCAATACCTAATATATTTCTCACTTTCGAAAAGTTGTTATTTTCACTAGTGAAAATTTTCCCTAGTGAAAATAACATATTCAAGGTTATAATAAATACAAGGTATCTACAAAAAATTTGCTTTCATATATAATTATGATTATCATAACAGAATATTACATCATGGTCACTTGGAGATACTAGTACAAATTTTAGCTTTTCGTGTTGAAAATCTCTCACTCGTTTGCTATGCTCGTGACTTGTTTGCTATGCTCGTGACTTGTTTGCTATAAAGCTCATTGGTGTGAGATCTTTTCAACACTTGAAGATAAATCTGTATCTCAGCGCGCTCATGTAATATCTTTTTAATTATAGCTTATGCAGCATTAGCATTACCCTGTACCTCAAAGCACTTTAATCTATGAGCCCTTTGGCATTAATCATATGTTTTATACAATTATTTACCATTACATGTGCCGAATAGTTTTTATAGCAGGAAAATGTGTTAATGTATTTACCTTTTTAGTGTCTGACTTAAATCAATATTAATAATGTAATTATACATAATTTAAWGAAAATATGAAACCAAATTTATGGCCTAAATGTAAAATAAAGAACCCACTTCTCTCCAAAACATTTATTTGATTATCATCTGCCATTTTACAGTTGAAACCAAATCCTTCCAGAATCAATACACACAGAGCTATTTCAAGGAAAGTACTGTCAAAGCCCATTATAGGTAATATGCCAATCCATATCTCAAARAGATATATATAGAACTTAACGAAGCTATAAAAGTATTGAGAGCAGAGATAAGGTAATTGGTTTTGACTGAATCTAAAATATGTCAGTTTTGGACTAAATTGGCTTGTTGCCTTCTGACAGTGTACATGTACATGTAAACTTTTTTAGTGTTGTTTTTGGCATTTGCATTTTCACATTTAGGATCAGGGTATAGAATAAAACGAAAAAGTTAAAGATGGAGGGAAGCATTAAAAAAATTGTAAAATATGGGAAGAAATAATGTAAGACAATAAGAAAAATATTAAGTGAAATAATGTCACATCTGTTTAAATACGAAAGAGTGTGAAATAACAAAGAGATGGACTTTAAATCAAAGAGAATTRCACATTTTTAAGGAAAATGGATAGGMAAGGARTACTTCMGTATTCAAASTMMAGWWTWRYARTCWWTTTTACACTGTTAGCCTCAATTCCGTRTAAAATAWGCAGAAATWTATTGATAAAACTTGTGCAATTTCAAACGATTTTCATTGTCTTCTGTACTGCAGATCTCTTGAATTTGTASAGGATGTTACTGAATAAAAGAATAAATTAAATGGTTTTGAGGCTAAAACAGTGTAGAAGAGATTGCTAAAAGGGTCTAYGGCTTTCCCACGATCAAACCTCTTCATGTGGACCCARAACAAAGACAAAARTGCCTTCCACCTACAGGTTCAATAGCTCCACTCAACATGAGCCATTAATAATAAAAATCCCATATATAGTATTACCAACTTATTGGGAACTTATTGTGTATTTATAAATGCCTTATGTTGAACATTTGGATGGTATTGAGTCAAGCGGTATYATGCCAAGCAGAGAAGATATTGGGGGTGATTTTATTTTTGTTTCCCATCTCAATATAATTATCTACATTTGGCATGAAATACTCTAATCTATCCCAGTTGATTCGACAAAATCCAATAGATTTTGTTTCTAACTTACAGCATGAAATACGCAAAATTTWCAAAGGAATATATAAATTATAGAAAATTCTGGAATATCATAGAAAAAATATTTATGCAAATTAGTGAGAGAAATTCCATACTCTACAAGGGGCCCCCTCAGATGAMACTCAAAAACAATTTTCTATAAAATACACAAAATCTATCTAGAAGTTACAACCAGCGAATAATTTTGACAGATAACCTGTTCGACTCGTCAATGCAGTGTTTAYAATGTTTCAAAGTGGTTTGTTTTTCCCAAAACTTCATTGTGAAATAAATCTATTTTTCGCCAGTGAACCGTGAACGAAAAGTATCGTTATAAAACTGACAGCTAAGCAGACAGAAATTCGATCGCAAAGCGACTAGCGGCGCACAAAAAAAACACAAGTTGCTCATATTGATGTAAGTGCGGAGAAAAACTCTCCCAAACTGCTACGTTTTATGAATAYTAAAATTTTGAGTATCGTTGTTATAACAAAATCCTTTTGAAATACTAATCGCATTCAATTAGTACTGGTGGAAATTGCACAAAAATCACGAAATATTCAATCGAATTCTTGTATAATAGAATTATAATTCTGAATCGTAAAAGAAACAAGTCAAAATAATTAAATAAGTGTATCTTTATCACTTACGAGCATTAGTAGAATCATATAAAATGTATTTGTTTTGGTGAGATTAAAAATATACGTCTTACCATATTTTGCTTAGCTCTGATAAAGGAAGTCTTGAACGTATAAAAAGCGATCTTGCTTGTTCTCCTGAGTATAATTCATAAAAAAGAWGGTGTCAGGGCCTTCTAGTAWAMYTTWWTKSMAAAAAAATACAAAACAAATGCCCGCCACGAAAAAATAAGCTCTAGGCAACTAACCTGACACAAGTCCGTTTTTAGGAGTCTGGCTGTAGAACAACGCGTCATGTCTTGCTCTTTCTTCCTCRGTTACCACGTATTTTAAATCGTCGGCCATTATGAGCGTCCCAGAAGTGAATMAAACACTGGAATTAGTTAGAAACCACTGTGATTAACTTGTGAAATCCGTTCGATCGGAGGCAAACAACGAAGTCCGTTCGTCATGGGAATACAGTTGAGCGGTTGATTTTAAATCAGACCTCAAATGCAATTAACGATTTAAAAGTTGAAGTCCTTAAGAGTAGTTATGTGAAATTAATGTGCTTTATATCCTGACAAATCMTCCGTATTTGTGCATTCCTTGTGCTTGGTTTGTAGCTAGTCGCCACGGTCTACTGACGCTCGACCCAGTCCYCTATTGTATTCGTCTCATTAACACCTTCAACATCATATTGAGAATCACTTATGTATTGTTAATATCGCACTACGCTCTGTGTTTTTCTTAAAATATATACGTTTTTATTRCAGTTTTATACTTTGATTTAGACATAAAAATTCGATTGAAATAAGGAATATGCAGGCTGGTTAGAGAACAATCATTTTTAAAAATTATGCCAAAAGATACCACTAAATACTCCGGGAAGTACTGTTATTAATTATGCTAATTTTATTGTTTTCTATTGATTTAAGTGACCCGTGAAATAGATATTCCACGAATACACCTTTATAGTACGCTCTAATGGCATCGTTATCTTTTGTGTCTATTGGACTATCTAATCGCGTCGAGGTTTTGTTTCACGGCTTTTCAGCGAGGTAATAAAAGTGAAATAGATACTAATACACCTTTAATGTCATTGTGTCCTTTTGTGTCTATTTGCATTGACTATATCATAATTTAATAGTCAAGATTTGTTTCACGGGTGTAAAGAACTCACTCTTGTTTGGCTAGTACTATTTGGTAGTAAATATTTGTGAAGTGCATACTTTTAGTGTTTGTACTTAACTAAACCAAATTTGCCCTATGGCATATAAATGACGTCACAGTATGTTTGCACTGTGAATAGATGCTCAGAAAGACTCGAAATATGGACCTATTAAGATATTAACTTTCTTTCCGAAAGTAGAACTTAATGTATCGAGTTTTGATACACATGATAGCTCATCTACATTTTATTTGATATGCAGTCACTCTGATCCCCTCTGGCCACCATAATCCTTAGCATTAAAACAGTAGAATGTTTTGATGTGACGTAATTATGCGATAGGGCAATTATCTTTGTTCTACTCTGTCCATTATGTTAGCTTTAGTTAGCAGGAGTCTGAGTCCAAGGGGCACAACGGATATTAAACACTTGGGAATAAGTCCAAGGGTCTCTCCAGCAATTGTTACTTCCGCTTTTGCTCTCTTAAAAATAACTGTCTACACGCAGTCGGTTTCGACATTGTTTCGCGTTATCGTGACATTAGTGTATTTACATTTATATTTACTGCGTTCATAATGCAGATATCCTTATCATTCTAGATTAATACCACAACAATATCCATTTTATTATATCGTCAAAACCAACTCAATCCACTCGACATGACTTTGGTCAATTTTTAATGACTGATTATGACCTTCCTCAACGGTTGAATGATCCCTTTCAATCACAGTTGATACTGATGGTTGACTTCGCATGATATGTCTGTGTGATTCCTGTACATGGCCTTSTCCCTGATATACTTATCTACGGCCGATGGAGGGTAGTTTCGTAAACTCAAAAAGACATTCCGTCAAAAGAAACAGAAAAAACGATAATGGACGCAAAAACCTGTCGGGAAGCATGACCGTTCAAGTTCAAAAAATRCTATACCGCATGCTTTTTCTATTTCTGTACTATTACTTATCGCGGGCGCAGAAGGCATTAATAACTCTCACAACGCTGTGACTACAGCTGCTCTAATTACTTCATATTGACTCGAACACCTGCAGACTATTTGAGAACATTATAAAAGCCATTATCATCATTATTGACTTGTTATTCTCTAAACAATATTAACTTGAGCCGCGTCCGATCAAGATACCTTGAGAAGTTACCAAATACCAGAAAACTCGTTCACTGGCATAATCCAAATATGCAATTGAAATTTTCATTTTTTCTTCTTATTCTGATCCATAAAAATGTCCAAGGAGAAGGTAAGTCTGTATCCGCGTATTTTAAGCAATACCCTCAGCACTTATCG